TGCTGGGCATTATAGAAATGCAAATTAAAACAACACTGAGATTCCATCTTACTCTAGAAAGAACGGCCATCATCAAGAAATCTCGTAATAATAAAGGCTGGCGAGGCTATAGTGAAAAAGGAACCCTCCTATATTGTTGGTGGCAATGTAAATCATTACAATCATTGTGGAACTCAATATGGAGATCCTCAAAAAACAAAAATAGAAATTCCATTTGACCCAGCTATTCCTCTCCTACATATCTTCCTGAAAGTTAAAGACATCATATTATAGTGACACATGCATACCCATGTTTATAGCATCTCAACTTGTAATAGCTGGGTGTGGTGGCACACGCCTGTAATCTCAGCACTCTGGAGGCTGAGCCAGGAGGATCACTGTGAGTTCAAGGCCAGCCTGGGCTACATAAGTGAGTTCAAGGCCAGCCTACACTACATAGCAAGACCCTGTCTAAAAATAGCAACAACTCATAGCTAAATCTTTTTTTTTGAGACAGAGTCTCACTTTATAGGTCAGCCTGGCCCTGAACTATGTAACCAGGCTTGAATCAAACTCACAGCAATCCTCCTGCCTCAGCTTCCTGAGCGCTGGGATTACAGGCATGTGCCACCACCCCTGGCAATAGCTCAACCTTGGAAGCAGCGTTTATGTTCACCAGCAAATGAATGTGTTATACACATTGGAGGATTACTCTGCTGTAAAGGATAAGTGTTTAAAGAATTAATTAAGTTTATTGGTACATTTTAAGTGTATGTAACAATCACATTCATCATAGGGAATTTGTACCTATACATGATATATATAATATGTATTTTTTTGGTACCAGAAATCAAATTTGGGCCCTCACGCTTGCCAGACAGGTGCAGTGCCGCTGAGCTATACTCCCAGCCCTCTTCCTCTAGGTAAAGAATAAATTTGAGTGAGTCATTTGTAGGAAAATAAATGTACCCTGAAACCGTATGTTGAGTGAAATAAATCAGATACAGGCTTAAATAACAGGTGGTTTCTCTTATATCAGAAACCCAAACTGTAAATAGGGACCAAAAATGTGTAATTGCAAAATAGGAAGGAAATGCCCAACTGGGAAGGGAAACTAGGGAGGGGGAGGGGGAAAGGAAGGAAGGAAAAAAAGAAGGAAAAAATGGAAATAATGTTTTTGTAAATGAGGGGAAGCGGGGTTGAAGGGAGGGGAGGGAAGGGGAAGAAAGAAGAATCAAGACAGATCCTATACAGGTACAAATTCCCTATAGTGAATGTTATTATGTATATCTAATGTTATTATGAACATCTACTCAAGGTATAAATAAAGAGCAAAATGAAAGAACACAGGATACACGAAGACAGATCTTTTGTACATGGGAAGGGGGACTAAGAGATGGGGGAAGGCAGGAGAGTGGAGTGGACATGAAAACCGGCTCCCTGCAGGGAATTTAATCATTATGTATTGCAACCATGTACTAATAAAAATGAAAAAGCGAAACATGCATCAATATTAATCAAATTTTCATCCTTATTGGCCTTTTTCAAGTTATATTGTGGTAACATCAAGTAACTTTTGTGGCTGGTCACAGTATTTGCCAAAAACATAATGGCACCATTTTTCCAACAGCATGTGCTCAATTTATGTCGTGAGTCATACTTTAATTTCTGCAATATTTCAAACTGCAGTTTTCATTGTATCTTAGGGTGATCAGGCATCTTTGATGGTATTACTGCTATTGTTTTGAAGCACCATGAACTTACACTCATGTAAAATGCTAAACCTAACAAATGTTATGTGTGCTGTTACCAAAAAAACAAAGACCAAAGTTGGGAGTGGTGGTGCACACTGGTAATCCCAGCACTTAGGAGGCTGAAGCAGGATTACCAAGAGTTGGAGGCCAGCCTGGGCTACATACTGAGATCAAGGGCACCCTGGACTACATAAGCAAGACCCCGGCTCAAAAAACTAAAAAAAAAAAAGTGACAATTAACAAAAATATTTTGGGGCCAGGGATATCGCTCAGCAGCACAGTGCTTGCCTTGGCAAGCATGAGAGCCCGAGTTTGATTTCCGATAACCCTCCCCTCCACCAAGCTTTTCTTTTGAACACCAGACATTTACAGACTGAAGTTGGCCGGCCAATTTGGGACTATTTTTTTGAGAGGGTCTCATTATGCAGTTCAGACTATCCTTAAAATCACTATATAGCCCAGGTTGACCTGAAACTTCTGGTGATTCTCCTGCCTCAGCCTCCCAAATGCTGGTATTACAGGTGTGTGCCACGACACCCTGCTAATCTGAGACATTTTTTTTTTTTTAATCTGAGACATTTTTAGTTCAGTAATTTCAATTATAAAATGAAGAGAAGTGGTATATTCTGCACTATATAGTTACAAGAGTTGAGAGCTTGTTTCCAAAATCTTAGTCTGTTTTCTTGCATATAATACCTCTTAATATTCGTGCTATGTATCCATTTCTGGGACTCTCAAGATTCTTCCAGTCCATTTTTTTCCTGTCTTTCCCCCGGGGTGGGGCTGGGGGTAGACTGAACTCCGTGTCTTTCTACTGAGCTATATCCCCAACTCTTTACAATTTTTGAGACAAGGTATCACTATGTGGTCTGGGCTGGCATTGAACCCACTACTGTAGCCCAGGCTGGCCTTGAATTTGTGGCAGTTTTCCTGCCTCAGCCTTCTGTGTACTGAGATTACAGGTGTGAGCCAACATGCCTGGCTGTTTTTTTTTTTTTTTGAGACAGGGCCTCCCTCTGTAGTTCAGGCTGGCCTTGCACTCAATTATCTTATTTTATATTGAAAGAAATTGTTAAAAGCATCAAAGAACCTCCCAAGATGTCATATAGTCCAAGTTTGAGTCAGGATTTCACGACTAAAGCCTAACTTTTTCTCCTGTATCACAGGCGGTCCCCTCAGTGAAGTTCGACGAGCTGTAACGATAACCATGCAAGACAAAGTTTGGAGCAAAGCTTTCCTTTTTATTGCAGTTATTAGTGGAAGTTACACTTTAAACTGAAGCTAAGCAACAATAAAACCATTAACTTTTTTTGAATTAAGAATTAAAAACAAATACAGCACAGAACCTTTCCAATATGCAGAATGGCAGAAAAGAAGGGTGGTTCTGTCACAGGACATTTTAGTGACAGTTTGGCTCAGAAAGAATCATGACCATTTCTTTAACATAAAACATTACACATGGCTGAACTTCTAAAAACTAGCTTCCTCAAGCTTCTCAATCTCACCTACAGAGTTTTGGTGATTTTTTTAAAGGGGAAAATAGTTTAACTCAAAGTAGAAGATTTACTAACAAATTTTAAATACTGAAAATAAGCACTTTTATTCAAAAAACTTTATTTGCTTTCTGCTCATCACAATTACATGTAATTTTCAAGAAATTAAAATAATAACCAAATTCAAAGCCTAGGCCTCAAGTACACAGTGATAGAATTCAGTATTTGGTGTCTCTAAGGGTACAGCAGCTACACGCACATCACAGACTGCTCTCCCACCCACCGCCCACCACAGAGTTGCAATTCCTCCAAGTAAAACGCGGCCAGCAAGTTTAGTGGCACGTACCTTATCCGGTCCAGTAGGACCTTACAACTGACTCCCTTGTCTTAACCAATGTTACTGTGTAACCCAACATTTAAAAAGACGACTTATAGATAAACATTCTGAAATTCCAAGATAGATTGTTCTTACTTATGAAAAGCCAACAAAAAGATATAAGGCTAGTCCAGGCACAGAACAGAGCTATGACAGGCAGGGAAGACGGGGAAGAAGTCTGAAAGTCCTAACATTTTGCCTTGGTATCAGTAGAAATATTTGGCAAGAACAGTTAATGTGGAAAAAGAGAATGGAGAAAGAGGTTTATTGATTTCATGTAATAATTTGGTTTCAAAACATACTGTTATCACCCCCAAAAATAGTTCACATCTGTAATACAAATAGGCACACACGGTCAAGATGATTAAAAGGTACAATTTAAAAGGCTATTTAGTCCATCTGCTGGACATTTTTGCAGGTGGTTGTACCCTCCCCACAACACCTGTATTTACATTTTATTCTTCAGAAAAGCCCCTTTAAAAAGAATATGTTATTTCTTCTTCCATTACTTAGGGTTTTAAAAAAAGCAGCAGTTATCTAAAGTGGGAGAAGTTGATAATGCTTTGGGTGTGCATCTGTGTGTACACTGTGTATAATAAAAATGTTTTCTAGGGTGAGTGATAAGATTACAATGGAATGGTCATACTGCAGTTTTAATCTCCCAAACACTAAAGAAACAATACATTATTTTTTCTATATAAACTTAAGTAATACACAGTGTTATAAAATGTTTATATATACACAAACATACACACACCACTGTTTTCCACAGTCTATGAATGCATACACAAATGTCTAGTCTACACAATGATCTTTATTCACAACATATAGTAATACTTATATGGGTACATAACTGGAGAGACATTAAAGCTACACATTACAGCAAAAAGTATTTAACTGTATTCCTGATATATCAGTGTTGGCTACCTCACTGCTCAAGATGGACTTTTTGTTCATTTTTCAAGCATGAATCTCCCCAACTTTTCATCTTCAGTACTTGACACTCTTATTGTCCTATAAAAATAATCACATATACCACCTGTGTTAACAATGAGTCAGAAAAGCTCAACTGCCTGCAACAAGGGAAGTTCAGCATCTAGAGAGATAAGAATAATGCTGAATGCATCCATACCCTGTGTACCTAAATTGCATCGTTTTTCTTAGAAGATGGCTTAATTTTTCAGTGCTGGGATTGAACCCTGGGCCTTGTACATATTAGTGAAGTGCTCTACCATTGAGCTGTACCTGCAGCCTTGCATCCTGTTTTCTTTAAAACAAACAGAAAAACACAAACTGTTGCAAAAAGGAAGCGCTTATACCTGTAGTGATGTGGCCTTTGTAACTTCCTGGAAACTGTCCCTCCTCCTCCTGCAAATGCATAAATCTGTTGAAATGTAAAGTCCTGACCAAAAGATTACTCAGTCAGACCTCTTATACCACCTGTAGGTACTCAGAATTAAATTAACACAAAGAAAAAACTTCCCTATATTTTAACTTTACAGATACATGACTGGAATTTTAAAGGTAAAGCTAAGTTCAGTTCTGCAAATTGATTAATGAAATACACTTTCCCTGTTAAAGTCAACTCTCTACTCCAAAGAACTAGGTACCAAAGATCTGCCAAGAAACAAAAGGATAACTGTCGGTTTTAACAGCCTCTGAGGCCAACATGTAGTAAAAGTGCCTGAAGACAACAGGTCAAGTTAATATCGAAGTATCTGATGCTTTCACCACAGTAACTCAAAACACAGCTGTAGCTGCCATAGCACCACTATATGGAGTTTAGTTTTTTAAGCTATCCTTTTGCTACAGATTATTGAAAAACATCAGTCCACATGCTGGATCTCTGGCAAGGAAGACACAGAACAGGATGTGTTTGTAAGGGAATATCACACTATAAGGCCCATGTTTCACTGATACTTGGTTCATGAAACCATTTACAGTAACTGAAGATGCTTTCACAGAGTCCAACTGGAAAGCAACACTTCACGCCACACTATTCTATTATCCTGAACTTCTGACAGCTGTTCCTTTGGGGAACTCTAGCACTTTCACAAACATCTTATTTCACAATAATTTAGCGAGGTAGGCAGTTAGCAAGGGCAGTTATTATCACTTCCACTTATAAGGGGAGACAGGCACAAGGAAATAAAGGGAATTGCCTAAGGACTTAGAGCACATCAGTGGTAGAACTATGACTAGTCTCCAAGTTCGAGTTCCAGAACCCTTTCTACTCTCAAAGGCATTAGGATCACCACAGTCCTTTTTTCAGTTGTAATCATTTAAAAAAAGTTCCTGAATTTGAAAACTTCATAGGTCTTCTCCCTCACATCTCAAGAAGGATATGAACTAGGATACAAGCTGAGTTAAAATTTTTCTTGCGTAGAATCTTGTACACACCAAGAAATCAGATGTCAGATATAGCTATAAAACTAAAGTCAGAATATATATATGAAAGAATAATCTAAGTATTAATTCATTCAATATACTTTTTATATGTAAGAAGGCATGTGCCAGAATAAAAGAAACTTTTAAAAGTATAAACCAGAGTGGAATTTATTAAAATGCTAAGTATATTCAATCTAGTTAAGAATACAGGGATCTGTGTTGCAAAAGGTTGAAATATTACTCTCAGGAATAATTCTGGGCATGGTGGCACATGCCTGTAATCCTAGCACTCAGGAGGTTGAGGCCAGAACATCACCAGCTGGAGGCCAGCCTGGGCTACAAAGTGTTCATGGTTACCCTAGATTACACAGAGAGAACTTACCTAAAACAAAAACAAAAAACAAACAAACAACAAGAAGAAGAAGACCAAAACCAGGTGAGACAAAGAAGAATAATTCTGTAGCTCAGTGGAAGAGCTCTTGGCTAGTATATGTTAGGCTGTGGATTTGATTCCATCATGTGCTCCCCCTCCAAAAATCTGCAAGAACAATGCTATCACGTTGCTATGACATATTACATTCAGGATATATATACCATTTACATTATCATCTAAAGCTAGCAAAAAAATCTATGAGATAATATCTTTAGCATTAATACTTTTGATCTTAATTCTCACTTAACTGATTTAGGATTTCATTTGCATTAACTGAAGTTACACACTGATGATTCTCATTGTGTCTCTTGGTTTTTGTCCCTTTTATTTTAACTGTGTGTGTGTGTGTGTGTGAGAGAGAGAGAGAAAGGACTTTGATTTATAAATGGCATGACACACTGTATCATAAAAAATGGTGGCACTTCAGTAAATCAAAAATGGTATGTCAAAGGAAACAAACTTTAGAACATAAATGTCAAAAATAGTATAAAATAGTCTCTTGATCATTGTAACTTCTGACATATAATCCTCCTTGGCCCAGTATTTATATATTTTTTGGTACCAGGAACTGAACTCACAATCTTGCACTTGCCAGGCAGGTACCATGCTGCTGAGCTATATCCCCAGCCCCGGCCCAGTATTTAAAGACTGTTTTCTGTTTTTTCTTTTAACCTATGTTGAATGCTATAATGCTGCCTCTAAATCCTCCCCCTTTTCTTTCTTGAGGGGAAGGGTTGGCTAAGAAATTGGAAAGCTCCTGGAAAATTTTTTGAGACTCCAACTATTAGATTTCAGTTACTGCTTGATGTTCCTCGCTTTTTGTTTTGTTTACTATTTGGAGTGCTGGGATCAAACTCAGGGTTTAGGGGCTGGAGATATAGCTTGGCGGCATAAGTGCCTGCCTGGCAAGCACAAGGTCATGAGTTCGATTCCCAGTCCAAAGAAACCACACATACACACACAAAAAACCCCTTGGGGCCTTGTGCAGGCTAAGCACGTGCTTTCCCACTGAGTTATATCTCTAGCCCCTCAAGTTCTTGGCTTTTGAATTTGAAAAGGACACATGCAGATCTGCAAGGTTATCCTCAATATGAGCTCATTACCTGTCTGTGAAACAGGGAGATAACTGCAATTAATTACTATCAGAGACCAGGTCTGTTGCTACTAAAACTCAAATTCCCGTCTGTTAATTCCCTGGGACCAAGTTGTATCCATTAACCAGGTGGAACTATCTATGCCAAAATTCCTTCCTCCTTATAACGTACCAGTGTTTCTTCAAATCCTTCACCAAATTTTTTTTTTCTAGTAGACTGCCTCATCTGGAAATGCCTAGCTTGTTTTTCAAGAAGGGAGAAAACTAGAAAAGCTATGTTAATAGCAATGTCATGGTTCTATTTAAAGATAAATACTCTATTGACTGTTTTTGGTGGTACTGTGGATGAACCCAGGGCCGCAAGCATGCTAGGCAAGTGCTCTACTACTGAGCCACATTCAGCCCTTTTTTCTATTTTATTTTGAGACAAGTCTTCCCAAGTTGCTCAGGGTGGCCTTGAATTTGGGGTCCTTCTGCCTTATCCTCCTGAGTAACTGGGATTACAGGTCTGCACTACTATGCCCCATTCATTTTTAAAATTATAATTCAGAAGCAACTTCTAAGACTTTTCCAATTTGCTGAGAACAGAAAACAGCTCTGGATCTAGCACAGAAACTTAACAGGTTGAGATTAGAGGACTCTGCTTGGGCCTCTTTCATAGGTTCACAGAGTAACAAAAGCTCTCTCAGCCTCATTTCACTCTCACAGTTCTACTCGCCTGCTCCTTTACTAAGATCTCCATCTTCACAGATTCCTATAGTAAGGGTAGAGTCATATAGGCAATATTTTTGCAACCTTTTCTTCTTTGGCTCTAAAAAGACTAAGGGTTAAATTCAGGGACTATGGTTTGTTTATTCTGCCAATCAAAAGTCATGAAGTAAAGCAAGTTTTAGGCATTAAATACCAGATTGAACTCTCTTGCTAGTCGGTGATCCAGGCTCTTTAAATGTAAGGTTATAGATGTGCATACAGTCAGGTTTCAGAAAGAATAAAACAAATGCAAAGTTCTGATGACCAACTTTTCCATCTTTTTTCTATTCATAACACTGCTTATGAAGAGTTCCTTTTTTGGGCATGACCTATAATTTACTGCACAATTATTTCTTTCTGAAATGGTGGACTATAAACACAAACAACACTTCACTATGTTAATGTATTACTGATGCTAGGTATCTGGATTTGTGAAGCCAATCAGTTAAACTCTATGGTCAGGTTCTCCTGAGTTTTCAGAAGGAACAAACAAATCACAGGTCCCTAGGCAGGCTTAAAAATATTGGGTTTGCCATGTGTGGAGCTGTATGCTTGTAACCTAGTTTCTCAGATGGCTGAGGCAAGAGGATCACAAGTTTGGAGACTATCTTGGGAATATTTGAGACACAATGTCTCAAAACAGAGTAAAAAAAATCTGGGGATATACCTTAGAGTATTTGTCTTGCATTGGTTCAGTCTCCAGCACTGCAATAAAAAGCTGGTCTACAAGAATTATATGCAGTCAACTTAGGACAATATTGAAATATAATGAATAAAAACGAGGTTGTAGTATAGCACAGTAAGTATCCTTAAAAGGGGGACATATAAGTATATTGATATTTTTATCAACAGATAGCTAAGTTTTATCTAAGTTTTTACTTAAGTTGTAACAAATTCCTATAATCAGAGAACCAACTTTCACGACTACTTGGTGTGGAGGTAAAGAAAATTAACTCAGAATAGTATATTATAGAGCAAATTAGCTGAAGAATATGCACAAAGAAATGATATGATTAATGTCTATATAAAATCATGCTGATTCATTTTAAACTGTAAAATTTTACATAATATAAAAATAAAAATCTTGCTAGGTATGGTGGCACACACCAGTAATTCCAGTATTTGGGAGGCTGAGGCAGGAGGAATCACTGTGAGTTCAAGGCCAGCCTGAACTACATAGTGAGACCCTGTCTCAAAAAAAAAAAATTTCCCACTTATAATTATTTGGAACTGACTCATTTCCCTCCCTCTTGTGGAAGAACAGCATTAAGTACCGTAAAATGGTATATATTTAACCTCAATAATTTGGAATTTAAAAACTCAAGAGAATTAGGTAAAAGTTATCTTTGTGTGTCTGTTGGTAAGAACTGAACTCAGGGACTTGTGTACACTAGGCAAGAGCTTGGCCACTGGGCTATACCCCCAACCCAAAAGCTATCTTCTAATTTCTAACAAAAAAAATTACTTACTAAGAAATTGTTTTTTTAGGGTTTTTGAGACAGGGACTTGCTCTGCAGCCTTCCAAGTACTGGGATTACAAGCAAGAGAAAATTTATAGTGTAAAAATACAATGGAAATATTTTATCTTCTTAAGAGGATATATGTTTTCATGTACTTTCACCAAAAGGTTAATGTGCTAATATAAATAATCTTGATAATTGCTAGGAAACTGGAGTGACTATATATGTTTGAAATTAATATTCTATAATCATATTTCACTGCTTCCTAATTAGCTCATATTCATAAATTATTACTAGTTAAAAGTTTAATGGGCTGAAACACTCTACTCAGAGGTTGAAGCAACTTTAAAAGTATATTAGGAAAAGTTCAGGGTAGCAAATCTTTCATATAATTATGAAGGAAAAATCCCAATTCAAAGTCAGTTATCAATGACATCTGGGTCATTTGCTATTTCTTTTTCTGGCTTATAAAAATGTTATAACCCTAATGCTAAACAGTGTATTAAAATTAAAAACAAAATGTAATATCATCTATTTAATAATTTTCCGCAAAACTCCAATCAGGTAAAATAAATCCAATATGTTAGCGTTAGTTTGCTACTGAAGGAATAAAAGATACAACTTATAGAAAAGCCCCACCTCCCCTCTGCATGTAGAAATCTGTCCAAAGACTGTCTTTAATGCCCACTATATAAACAACATTAAATATTCTAAAGTAGAAAATAGTGTTAATAGTTTATTGGTAAAAATCCACACTCTATACTTTATGGAATTAGTAGTTTGTTTGGTATGTTAACATACCATCTTAATTTCTGCTAATATTACAAAGAAAGAGGAAAAGCTAGAAATATCTATAAAAATAAAACACCTTAAAACCAACAACTTAAGCAAAATATAAAAGTTGCACACAAACTGCCAATAAATATAAACATCACAATTGAAAAATTAACCTAAAAAAATAAACTCAATTGCTATTAAGACATTATAAAAATGAAAAAGTTTAATGTGCATGTATATTTGCAAGTAGACAAAGTACACTCCAAACAATCAATATGGTTTACTATTATTACATAATGCAGCATACAAGGTTACTGAGGTGTGATGTCTTCGCTTTAGTCTGTTTTCTGGAGTAATGCTCACCAAACTCACACAAAGACTGGTTAAGTGATCATTTATTGGTGTTTACTGCTTCCTACTACAGGGGAAAACTGCTTTCTGGTAGATGACTAAATTTCTACTAAGTATGAGTGGTTCTATTTTCTTTTCTTTTGCTTATCTTCTCCAAAGCCAAAAATTGCATTTCTCTCTCTTTCAGTGCCATGGACTGAATCGGGGGTCTTGAGCATGCTAAGCATGAACTTTATCACTGAGCCATATTCCCAGTCCTATATTCTATTTTTAATTAACTGATGATGCCCTTTTAAATGCATTGTTGTCATTTTTCATAGTTCCCTCACCATAGAAAAATAAATTCTTTAAAGCATTTTTTAGTGGCTAAAAAGAGAAAGTTGCCCTAAAGGGAAAAGATATAATTATTTGCATTCTCGTATCAGTCCAATGAAAATTTACCTCTCCCCTTATTAAATTCCTCCTTACTAATGACTAATTAGAAAAGGCTAGGCCTGGGGCAATCTATGCTTAAAAAACAAAACACAACCATTCCTGGCAAGGTACTTTGCCTTGAGACATTTGCTACTACTAGCGATTATATTGTTAAAAAGGTAAGTAGACTTGCTTTTTTATGTCCACTGTAGACTACTTTATAGATTACCTTGAACATAGCAGAGAATTAAAAGGTTTAACTGTCAAAATTTTTGCTCTCAGGGCTGGAGATATAGCTCAGTGGTAGATTATTTGCCTAGTGTACATATGGCCTTGGGTTTAACAGCCAGCACAGAAAAAAAAATTATTTTCAAATTTACAAAATAAATTTGGTGAGCATTTACCTGTATTCTTCACTATATAAAAGCTTTCATTGGTTCCCTTGACCAGATTCAGGACAGCAAATAACATTATTCATATGAAACTGTCACACTCTTGGAATTATAAAATAATTTACCTTTAAAAGTTTTAGCTTCACACTATTTGAAAAATAAAAAATCTACAGCACCATCTTCTGAAAAGGCACTTTCTAAGAACCACCTTGCTTTAAAAAATGTTTTAAAAATTCAATTCAGAGGCTACCCTGAAAAAAATCTTTGCTTTACTGAGACCCTAACAGAATATGACATTAGATTTTGGTTACTTCAGATTTTGGTTACTTCAGGTTTTAAAAAGGAAGGGAGCCCAATGGCTGGATCGATGCTTTGAGAAGATTTTCGTTCTGTCACATTGTTTGTTACCTGATACTTCAACAACGTTTTTTAGGGGCTAGGGATTTAGCTCAGTGGCACAGCACCTGCCTGGCAAGCGCAAGGTTGTGAGTTTGATTCCTGGTACCGGAAAAAAAACCAAAAACCAAACCAAAACAAAACAACAACGTCTTTTAAAATAATCTCAACCTTTCATCTTTAACTCAAATTAAAATCTTTAACTTTCATACTTTAAGAATAAAAGATTCTTGAGATTTAGTCAACAATGTAAGAATCTAGAGCACTATTTTTGACAGGTAAAGTAAAACAAACTTAAACTAGCAGTGGCGATAAGCATAATCCTTGATTATTAAAAAACATTATTCTGCCGGGCGTGGTGGCACACACCTGTAATCCCAGCACTCGGGAGGCTGAGACAGGAGGATCATTGTGAGTTTGAGACCAGCCTGGGCTACAAAGTGAGCTCAAGGCCAGCCTGAACTGCATAGTGAGATCCTGTCTCAAAAAGACAAAAAAAAAAAAAAAAATTATCCAGACAAAAATCATAAGCTTAAATGTACCATTTTTTAAAGTAGGAAAAAAAAGTATTACCCTTTTTATATGTAATATAGATATATAGTTATACTTGTTATGTATATATATGTTATATATATACATATACATACACACATAAATACTTCCCCTCTCCCCTCCTGGACTCGGCTTTCATTTAATCACAGCATCCTTTTTGTCACTGTCACTGAAGACTGTTCTTAATATAAGCAGAAACATAAAACAATGTTTTTGGAGAAAATTCTTTCTGATTTGTGTACTGATTCTTGTACATTTATTCTGGGATTATTTTTTGACCACTACAGAATCACAAAAGTGCTTGCTTTATATGACCGAATGCAAGGGAAATAAGAAAACAAAGACATCCCCCATCAGGATTATACTGCCACTCCTTCCTGCAAGGAAGGCCTTACAGGATATCAGCCTCCAAACTATTATTATTGAAGTTTTAAAACATCCACAAATTTTCAAAAAGAATGAAAAGGACTTATATTTTAAATGGATAAAAAAGCCAAAATAAAGATGCTAGACTAACTGATCTTTTTTTACAGCTTGAGGAATACATAAAAGGTAATTTAGGTAGCAAGGACCTGTTAAATGTAGTCTTTCTCTTTAACAGGAGAAAATCTAAGAGGATGAGTGAAGCAAACATTTAACTAAGGGTTAATGATACTGAGTGAAAGTAATGCAGAGTTGTCAGTTAAACTTGGCAAAACGTTACCATCAATTCACAAGTAGGAAGACTACAAAATAGTCTAGGCATGTTCAAGTGGCTTCCTTAATTTCATCAAAACCACTGCCTTTGGCAAAGTCATGCAAATCTCTGAAAAGTCACCATGTCGCTTGAATTCTGGGCTTCCGACTAACCCTGACTGAGTGCTCACCCTTTCCTCTGACAGAGATCATCTGCCAGCTCCTTCTACTGAACAGCAGCTCAGCTTTTATTTCCCTACACATATCTTAAGTCTGCCATGACTTTAAGTGTTGGGTCTGTCTACTAAGATCCGATCCATTAGAGAAGACACAAGTTAATCTTAGGTTGTGGTGGGTCACCGAACTTAGCTTGGAAAACTAGTCCTGGTCTTTAGAATGCTGGGTGTCCCTGCTGAGTTTATATTGGTCTTCCAAAAACACCCTGGACACTCCTACCAGAATCTCTTTAGAAGGGAAGTAAATTAACAGATTATAAGCAGGACCATTTCTATAGTCTAGTTTTTCTAAGACACTTGTTAAAGAGTATTATTAAAAAAGAAAGGGCATTTTTATTTCTGTGAAAATGTGCCAAAAACCAGTACTGAGGAGACTGAGGAATCCTTTCTTAAATTGTAAAAGTAAGAAATCTACATTTCTAAAACAAGGATATTCTGGTATTAAATTGAAACCAAAATGATATCACCCTTTACCACCTTAGTATTACTCTTACTTAGAAAAATGATAAAAAGGGTCTAACACTAACCTTGAATCCTGTTCATCTTCTTTTTGTTTAGTGCAGTAATTGTCAGACTCTACTTAAATAAATATAGCAGCTACGGTACTATAAATGTGTGGTCCTCAATGCCAGTAACTTGATACTGTAATACAATGACACATATTAGCACTTTACACAGACATATTTACCATCAAGGATATACACTAAATTCCCAACTCTTCTTTTTTTTACAGCGCTGGGATGAAACTCAGGGCCTCATACATGCTAGGTAAATGCTTTGTCAATGAGCTATAGCCCTAGCCCAAACTCTCAACTCTTCTTCATGTGAATATCAATTATACTAGTTGCTGGGACTGATATTTCAAAGAAAACGTGAGACCAAAATTTAGCATTCATCATATAGTTAGACAAGGCAAGGACAGGGATAGAAAGGTCTCTGAGTTTCATGATGCTTGAATAAAAAACAAAAATAACAACAAAACCAACCTTTTCCTTTTGTCTTTTTGACACAGGGTTCCGCTGTGCAGTTCAGGCTGGCCTTGAGCTCACTTTGTAGCCCAGGCTGGTCTCGAACTCACAACAATCTTCCTGCCTCAGCCTCTCGAGTGCTGGGATTACAGGCATGCCGCCACCACCCCCAGAAAAACCAACCTTTTCTTTTTAAATAAAAAAGATCAGGAATTCTACTCAGAAGTACAAAAAACAATTAGAACAAATTTCAAGAAATATTTGCCACTTAACTTTTTTATCTTAAAACTCTAAGCACGAGGTTTCTTTTTTTCTTTTTTGTCTTTTTGAGACAGGGTCTTGCTATGCTCTTCAGGCTGGCCTTGAACTCACTTTGTAGCCCAGGCTCGTCTTGAACTCACAACAATCCTCCTGCCTCAGCCTCCCTAGTGCTGGGATAGCACGAGGTTTCTTACAATTAAAATCTGGTATACCAACTGGTTAGTAAGCAAAGTAGAAATACGCTATATATATTCTTCCAAGTTAACCATAAACTAGCAATGTTGAATAGTCTAAGAACACTTTACAAAAAAGAAATCACTCATAAGGTAAAGTTTTATATTTTAGAAAAAATTATTTTTGCTTTTTAAAATGTCCTTCCAAATAGATTTAAATTAGGGCTTTACATATGTGAGACTAAGTGACTGAAAAATAGGTACAACAGTAAGTAGGGACACATCATCCTACAGGTGCTCCCTAAAGTTTCCCACATGAATCTGTGCAATAATAATAGACAATGGAAGATGTTTTACTTATACTGAGCAAGCAGATATCCATCAAGATTTTACCATCTATGACATACTGTTTTCTTCTCTTGCCCACGTTCCTGACCATGTTCAGTGAAATTTAAACGTAAAAAAACCAAACACTGCTGGGTATGGTTGTACGTACCTATAGTACGAGGCTGAGGTGGGAGGACTGCTTGTGCCCAGAAGTTTGAAACCATTCTGGGCAACATAGGAAAACCCTGTCTCAAAAACCAAAACAGAACAAGCCCCCTCGCCCAACAAACAAAACAAAATAAAAATGTGAAAAGTTTCAAAGGAATTTTTTTGTGGGAGATGGAAGAAGGCTAGAAGAAAAAAATCGTACATATTGTACAAATATTATCTTATGTAAAGTGCTTTGAAACAGTGTGTAAATTGCATTTCAGATACTTCAAAATAATAAACATAGAAAATACAGTACTTTTTAAGTTTTCTGGCAAAGGGACAAAAGATATCATGCCTGTTGGAGGACATGGGCTCAAATTTCAGGCTCAAAATACAGTAAATTGGCAATAACAGCGTATTGAAGGTAAGACAGAAACTAAAGATCTAAATCCATTAGTTTTTAGGTGCAGATGGAATTCTGAAAGGCTAACAACAATGCCCACTGGAAACAATCTGTATTATCTATACTCTGAACCAGTGTAAAACAAAAAACCTCAACCCTCAAAACAAAAACAAAACCAAAAAACCCCAAAACCTCCAATATATATTTTCATGAAGTATAAAGTTCCCCTGACCCTGAACCAGGTTTTGACAGCTTTATAGTACTTTTTTGTATCTTAAAGTGAAATTAATAAAATGAAAGTTTTGTAAAAAAAAGTTTTCCTTGCATTTCAGTGATTGAACTCATTTAAAATCATCAAAGTCCTAATGTCTTTTGTTCCTATCACCTTAATTTTAAAAAGCAAGTTATATTTGTGGTAAATCAGCAAAAAAACACAAAAAAAAGTTAAAAATGAAATCTTGTATTTTCTGGGTTCATTTTAGTAAATTAAACCTATCCAGTATTATTCTTCAATAATAATTATTCTCTTTTAAGTAATTTAAAAACATATCTGTCATTTCTCAAAGCAAATATTTCTAATTTTCAAAGTCAGACTCATTTAGGCAATTTTACTTCATTTTCATTATGATTTTTAAAAGACATGCATTAAAGTTGAAAATTAAACTTTCCTTCTGAAATTAAGGCTGTATTACTTTGCCATTTTAAAACAATGGAGGTTCCTGTTTCTCCTACTATCCACTGTAATGGTGTCAAATAGACACATTTGCCTTTAAAACTGCTTATTGCACTAAACGATAGCAAAAAAACAAGTTGTAAGTTCTTAAAATAAACATGATTATATTTCTATAAAAGATGTTGCCAATACAGTTCTATAATTATTAAAGCACTATTCTAATAAATATAAAAGAAAAGGAAGCTATATTTCAAAACACATACATATATGTTTATATATAAACACATACATATATATAAAAATATATATATGAAAATCACATTAAAGTATGAGAGGCAGCAAGTAAACTAGCAAAAACCAATCCTCCTGATAAGCCTTTCTCTCTCTCCACCCAATTTCAGAGGCCTCAACCCTACAGAGTTCCAATCTTTTAAAATATTTACCTTATGTTTAACTCCTAGAAACAGAAGGCTTTAGAATACACATCATATATCAGAGAGAAAGGGTTAGAACTTCTCACAACGTTTTGTATTTATAGCAGCTTCAACAGACTCACTAAAGAAAAAGAACAGTTTAGGTTGCTACTGTTTATGTACACATTGCACAAACGGCAAATATAAGTTCAGAGCAGGAGGAACACACAAAACGCAGTATCAAGAGTTGAGGACTCAGAATTGTGAATGAAATAGATGGGAGCAAGGTGTGCAAAATAAAGATAGAAATCTAGTTTGCCATGCTTTACATTCAAATGAGTCACATGTATGAACATTTGAATGTCACTGGTAGCATTAAGAATAAAATGTAGATGATGAAGGCAGGGCAGGCAGAGAGAGAAATAAAGGTGGTAGTGAGCACAGAATAAAAGGGAAAGAAAATTCCCCAATGGAATGAACCATAAAATACATACATAGACACATATATATCTATTATCAATCCAGATTCAGATATATATGACTATGAAATATGCATGTATATATTTAAAAACAGACTCCTTTTACAAGAATATATGAATGCACATTAGTTTTTTGCACATATAATTGTGAACAATCACTTCAATTATTTGTATAGGTGTGTGTTTTTTAAACCATCATTTACTTTTGCTTTACTTTTTTTGCAAAGATAGTTGTGCTGCCAAGCAACTTGAGGTAAAGGCATTAAAAGGGTTAGACTATAAGAAGAGAAAACAAAACAACTGCGATACTTCCTACAGGAGACCGCACAAAAAGCAGCTGGCTGGTTTCATATTGCATAATGGTGCTGCGTTCCTTGATGAAGTAAACAATCTTCCTTGTATCAACATAAGGACCAGGCTCCCACACAGTGTTGGCTTCTGTATGGCTGGAGGTGCATCTACTCAACTGACTATTGGAAACATACGTTGTATGTTGATTCTTCTTTCAGTTCTTCCTTTTAGAGAACACACTTGGACTTGTTAAGCAAAGTACATTGTGCGTAAGGTGTCTTGGTGAATCTGTACAGCCTTGGCAAGAGCTTGTGGGTCTCGCCCATTGCTCTGTCCTGAAACGTGGCTTCCTTCAGCACTGTAAGAAAAGTGGCAATGATCACAAAAACCAACCACCTATTCGAATAATTCTAAAGAGTAGTACCTACAGAAAATTTCAAAAATATTTTAAAAAGAGACTACTGTACTGAATTATGTATCCATTAACTTGCTGTACTAATTAATTCAAGGCCAATTTTATTTTACTTCACTCATTCCCCTAGGATTAGTTAGAAGCAAGTCCAAGACAGCTTATCATTTTATCTCCATGTGTATTTTGCTTCTAGTATCACTAATAGTCTCTCCCTTGGAATAACTTTGCAAATTAACTAAATTACTGTATCATTCTATTACTAGCAAGCCTAGACAGCATTTTTAAATAAAATATCTTATTTTGGGCACTCAGTTTTACTATCACTTTTCTTTCTTTTTTTGTTTTGTTTTTGTTCTTTTTGAGACAGGGTCTCGCTATGTAGTTCAGGCTGGCCTTGAGCTCACTTTGTAGCCCAGGCTGGTCTCGAACTCGCAACAATCCTCCTGCCTCAGCCTCCCGAGGGCTGGGATTTTTTTTCTTTTTTTTTTTTTGTCTACCATCACTTTTCATATGGCTCACTGACTCTCTGATAACTTGTGGAACTTTAATTCTAAACGGCACTACTTTATTGCAAACAGAGGAGCACATACTCACATGGAAGTGCTCAGGGAAATTTCTTACATAAATCAGAACATATTTGGATTAGAATGTATTTCTTAGGGTTTTATATTACCTGTCATGTTCTTTGTCCACAAGATGGTATCTGGCTCTGAATGCCACCAGATGAGCATAATATGCTGGTGCAGGTATAGAAACAGATCGTGTACAGCGTACGTAAGTGTGGCAGAGCTGGTAAGTTAGCAGTTGAAGTTCATCCGCAGTAAAGCAGTTATCGTCCCATAAAACATGGTAGTGTGAAGGACGGCTGGTACCCTATGGAGAAGGCAATGGCATGTTGCTGATTTCTAAACTTTTAAATAAATCTCCAGCATAGAGCAAATTATATTTAAAAAGCTTTGTATGTTAATTAGTAAAAATATTATAATTTAATAATCAATTAAAAATTTAGTTGATTCTAACTATATATCTAGAATGGAAGCAAGAAGTCAAATACATGTTTCGGCAGCTATGTTTATAGTAGCACTATGCACAATAACCCAAAAGAGGAAACAATTCAAGTGTCTACCAATGTATGAACAGATAAGCAAAATGTAGCATAAAGGAGTGGAGATGTGGCTCAGTGGTAGGGTGCTTAGCATGTATGAGGTACTGGGTTTGATCCCCAATACTGCAAAAAAAAAAAAAAAAAAAAAAAAAATCCCAACCCAAAATGTGACAATCAGAAACACACACACATACACAGAGGAATATTGTTCACCCTGAAAAGAAAATCCATTATGCTAAATGATACACACCAGTCTCTAAAGGGTACACAGTGTATGATTCACGTACATGTGGTACCTACAATAGTCAAAGCCATAGAGACAGAATGTAAAATGCCAGAGGCTTAGGGGAAGCGGGGACAGGGAGCTGGTGTTAATAGTATAATGTGTCACTGGAGATGAAAACGTTCTGGAGATAGATGGCGCTATGGTTGTGCAGAAGTGTGAATATACCCTAAGGCCATAGAACTGCAGGCTTAAAATGGTAAATTTAGGACTATGTGTGTGTGTATAAATTTTTGGGGGGAGGTACTTAGGGCTGTACCCAGGGTCTTTGTATATAACTATATCTTCAGCCCCTTTTATTTTTGTTTTGAGACATGGTCTTGGAAGGGTTCTAAGTTGCTATGCTGGGCTTGAATTTTTTGAGCCTTAGCCTCTCAGAGGGTGCATTACAGGTGCACACACCACACCTGGTCTGTGTATATATTTTGTTTTGTTTTTTTTCCGGTACCAGGGATCGAACTCACGACCTTGCGCTTGCTGGGCAGGCGCTGTGCCACTGAGCTAAATCCCCAGCCCCACGTGTATATTTTTAACATACACAAACCATTCAGTTGAGCAGTATGTGCCAGTTCTATGTGAGTAACTATGAATTCAAAGAGAAACAAAATTAAGAGTTTCTTGTCTTTTGGGCAACAATTTAGTAGAGAAGACAGACAATCTCTAATAAACTGTTATAGTACAGTAGTACTTTAGGCCATATATAGTTCTATATAAGAATTCCACAGAAAGTAATTATGGGAGTGAGCATGGGGTGCTTCATAAAGGTGGGAATAAGTGAGATTTGGTCTTTTTAAGGTGAGGCAAGGGGACAACAGACAGAATAAATAGCCTTCAAAAAGCATGGTGGAACATGACATCTCATGGCTTATTTGGGGATTAGCTAACGGATTTCCATGAGTAGAGCAGGGATAAGTGAAAAAAGGTGAAGTTTGGAATCAGAATGAACAACAAACAGGACACAGACATAGCCTTCCATACTATCCTATATAGCACTTTCATTGGTAAGTGCTAGGGGAAAGCACTGCACAGGTAGGAAAGCACTGGATAGTTAGGAAAATTTTTAGGAATGATGAGTTGGGGTTTTACAAAGTAACATCAGAGGGATTAGAATTAACAGCCTGAAAGCACAGACAGCAGATGGAAAGTTGTATTTATTTCTAGGTAGAAATTAGGAAAATGGTGGGGGCCATGGAGAAAAGGAACAAGACTGCTCATACTTTCACAAATAACTTGCATTATTTGTTAGACACTATGCAAGAATTTTGGGCTTGGCATGGTGGTGTATACTTGTAATCTGAGCCACTCCTAAAACTGAGGCTGGAGTATCCCAAGTTCAAGACTAGCCTGGGCAAGTTCCCTAGATCCTGTCTCAAAATAGGGTTGGGGAGGGGGCTGGGGAAGTAGCTCGGTACTTTGTGTTCAGTACTCAGTACCACAGAAACAAAAACAAAGAAAGATAATTTGAGTATTCACTATGCAATGCCACACACGTTTCAGTGATGAGAGACACAATCATAAGTAAAAACATCAGAAATGAGGCTATAAAGAGAATTAAAATATAGGATAGTATGGAAGGCTATGTCTATAGGTATTTTAGACTAGGTGATCAGGGAATGCTTTTGTGAAGAGACACAGAAGTGAGTTCTGGATGATAAGGAGGAAGAGAAGTCAGGGGGAAGAGCTTTTCAGGCATAGAAAGGGGCAGGGCAGAAGTTCTAACCACAGCATACAGAATTCATTCAATTCTCTCCAATTACCATTCTAGTCCCTAAAATCATCTTTGTTTTAGAGACATGGTCCTGCTATGCAATTCAGGCTGATCCTGAACTCACTAAGTAGCCCAGGATGGTCTCGAACTCACTGTGATCCTCCTGCCTCGGCCTCTCGAGTGCTGGGATTACAAGTATGTGCCACCATGCCTAGCTCCAAACATCATCTTTTGCCTGGACTATGGTCACAGACTCTTAACTAATGTTCCCAATACCACCAGTACTCCTTAGTACAATCTGTACTTTAGTACAGAGAGTTAAAAACAAACAAACCATAAAGTAACTATCTATGCTACTGTCCAACCTTTAATGGCTTACTACTGCACTAAGAACAAAATCCAAATTCTTACCTTTGTCCAACAAAGCCTCTATGACCCAGCCCAGCCTATCTCTAACCCATTCACATACTACAGTAACAGCCTCCATTTGATTCCTCCAATGGATAAACATTTTTCTCCCAGAAGGGCCTGTACATGTACCTCTGACAGTAATTTTCTTCCCTGTTCTTGGTTTGGTTAACTATTATTCATTCTTCAAGATCTTAAATGTCATTTCTCAGGGAAGTTTTTTGCGGTTTCCCAAAGTAAATCAAGTACCCACTGAAGTCTCCCTTTCTGTTCTTTGATTTTTTTAATTGTACTTTTCCCCATTTATAAATATTTGTGAGATTTTCACTTAAAGCTTCTTCCAATAAACTAAAAGAGGAAAGCATTGTGTTTATTTGTTCATTCTGTGTGCCTAGGATAAAAGCCCCTCCCCCTTAGGTGGTAGAATAAATATCTGCTGACTGAGGAGCAACTATCTGTTGACCTGCTGAGACCTTACAGATGGGAAGACTCAACCAGCCTCCGTCCCCCTCCCACCCCACCCCCACCCCAAGGAAGGAATGACTTTTTTTTTTTTTAAATTTTAGCTAGTAAAAACCAAGACTCTTCTTTTTAAATCTCAGATTAGTTTAAAAATTTTAATAAAGCTGGGAAGATATGTAAACACAGTCTTTAGTCCCTGTGAACTAGAACTGGTGTCCAAAAGAAAACATGTTCCTTAAGGTTTCTAGTTAAATATATTAGAGAAATATTCTTGTCTTAAAGGTTCATAATGACTACTTGTACATTAATAGTCTCCAGAAGTTGTAGAATTAAAAAACCTGCTAAACAACAAACAAACAAAAACTCAGTATTTATTTTTTTTGGGGGGATAGTAATTTCATTTTAAAAATTTTTTATTTTTGAAAGACCCAGGACAGTATTTCTCTTTTTTTTTTTTTTGTACTGGTAATTGAACTCAGGACGTCACACTTGCCAGGCAGGAGCCGTGCCACTGAGCTGTACCCCGGGCCAGGAGGGTATTTCTAAAACATACTTGAACAAAGAATCTTTTTTCTTCTCCTCTGTGATGTTTATTTAAAAGCCGTAAGGGTAGTCAGTACAGGGAGAAAGACTAGGTTAAAACATATGCTACTCCAGTGAGAGAAGTTTTATCCCTGAGAGTTATTAAAGGCTGTTTTTTACTAACTGATGTTAAACTCATCTTAAAAAGAGACAAGACTGACTGTAAAGAGGAACAGATACAAGAACATGGAGATGAGTGGGACAGTGTTAGGGCTTGGATCAAGAATACCTCCCAGTTGGCGCATGCGGTCAAAGACAGAGGACTTCTGGAAGGTGACTGGATCATGAGGGCACTATGGCTCACTAGTGGATTAATCCACTGATGAGCTCATAGCTGAATGGGATGTTAAGAGGCAGGATGTGGCTAGAAGAGGTGGCTCACTGGGGGCATAACCTGAAAGGGTCTATTCTTATTCCTACTCCCTTCCTCTCCCTGGCTTAGTTACTTCATCATTGCTGGAACAAAATACCTGACACCTACAAGTTAAAGAAGGTTATTTTGGCTCACAGTCTGTGTAAGTTTCAGGTGGCTCCAAGGCAGTGTGACATGGCAGACATGAGAGGAGAAATAGTCTATAGCAGGGCAGCCAGGAAAAAAGCAGCAAGCAGCAAGCAACAGCAGCAGAGAGCCTCTCTTTCCTTTTTATCCTGTTTAGGCTACAAGCCTTTTGAGTGGTGCCACTCACACCCAGGGTGGGCCTTCTCATTATCCATACCCATATGGATATCCATATCCATACTATGATAAACTAATTAGGTGGCTAATCCAATACCATACACCTTTAATTCCAGTATCATATACACCCTTGATCCAGCTACATCTCAAAAATCCCACCTATGAGCACATGAGACTTTGGGGGACATCAGATACGAGCCATAACAGGCCCTTTCTTCTTGGCTTTTCCTCTGCTTCCTGCCTGCCATGGATTAAACAGCTTTTCTCTATCATGCCCTTTTACCATGCCATTTCTTCCACAGAGCCAGTTGATCATGGTCTATACCCTCTGAAACTGTAAGCCAAAATAAACCTTTCTCTCCTGTGAATTGTGTACATTTTCAGTTATGTAAATTGAGGGTCCACTGTATAAAGCTATAAGACACAGCTGTGGTACATGCCTGTAATCCCACCATTTGGGAGGCTGAGGTAAGAGGAATGCTGCAAGTTCGAGGCCAGCCTGGACTACATAGTGAGTTCAAACCTAACATAAACTACACAGTGAGACCCTGTCTCAAATAAAAAAAAAAAAAAAAAGAAAAGAAAGAAGGAAAGAAAAAAGACATAGCTGTACAATAAAGTGTATCTTGAAATTTCTGTTTTAATGAACAGCAAGTAAATTAAAATAGTTTTGGGCTATATTTGCTCAGTTGTTCTGGGAACGTGAGGTTTATTTTCTGTTGCTAAAAAATTTGGGAAGCATTGAATTAAAGGTTATGGGCTGGGGAAATAGTTCAGCAGCACAGTGCCTGCCTGGCAAGTGCAAGGTTGTGAGTTCGATTCCTGGTACAAAAAAAAAGAAAAAAAGAATTAAAGGTTATGTTCCACCAAGAAAAGTAAACAAATGAAAAGATTTAAAAAAATAAAAGACTTCAAATCATCTAAGTGCAACTTAAAGCAGTAATTCTACAATCAAATGTTCTTACTGAATATTTATTAGTACATATTAAAGTTTTCTATGAAATATATTCACCAAAAAAGACATACATCAAAGGAATTTTTTCTTAAGTATTGGATTAAATTAAGGGTCCATTACAGGGATACACATTTTATTAAGGTAATTATATTTTGGTATTTTCACAAAAATAAACCTCTTTTATAGTAAGGGAAAAGAATACAGTTATTTACTGAAAATTTAATCTGATTTCATGTAGAAACAGGTTGGAATGCAGATGAGAATATTTCTTTTTCCTTTTGCTGAGATTTAAAAAATATACACAACAACTGAAGATCTGAATTAAAACATTTTACCCAAGATGTAGGCTTACCTGTATTCCAGCATGGCTACAAAGGTAAAAATCAAATTCATATGGGTGCGTAATGTCCGTATCAACTGTTGTTCCAGCTGGGATATTGCCACTTCTTCCAACCTAGATTTTTTTTTTTGGTCAAAGTTTAAACAAGACAAGGATTTTAAAAAATGTATCTGAAAGCACTTTAAAAAATGTATTAACATGTATGCTTATCCCATATTTGACTACTTTCAACTTGAAATATTACCTAAGTTATCAATAAGAACAACCTTACAGCTCCTTGTTCCTTTTTTTCTTCCTTTTTGCAGTGCTAGGACTTGAACCTAAGGCATTTTGCATGCTAAGCCTATGTTGTAGCACTGGGTTTTATCCCCAGCCCCTAGGTTCCTGTTTCTATACTGCTGAAATTAAGTGCTGGTAAACAAGAGTTATCAGATTCTATTTCTGCTTAACTGGTAGATGATTCCAATATGAGTTGAAGACATTAAGTTTTTTTGAGACAGGGTCTCACTATGCAGTTCAGGCTAGCCTTGAACTCAGTATGTAGTCCAGTCTGGCCTTGAACTTCTGGTGATTCTCCTGCCTCAGCCTCCCAAGTGCTGGGATTATAAGTGTGCACCACCACTCTTTTTGAGACAGGGTCTCAGTCTCACTATGTAGTTTAGGCTGCCCTGGACTCATTATGTAGCCCAGGATGGCCTCGAATTCACAGTGATCCTCCTGCTTCAGCCTCCCAAGTACTGGGATTATAGGCATGTGCCACCATACATCGCTAAAAATTAATTAACTAGTTTGTTTTTTGAGGTATGGTCTTGCTATGTAGTTCAGGCTAGCCTTGAACTTTACCATCTATCCCTGGGTGGCCTCAAACTCACAGTGAGTCTCCTGACTCAGTCTTCCAAGTGATGGGATTACAGGCATGGGGCACCATGTCCAGCAACAAAATTTTTAAAAAATTAACTGTAAGTTCTCCAAGTTATGGTAACTGTACATAGTGCATACTATTGAAATTATCATCTATGAAAAGTAACATTTTCCTAAGAGAATATTATATATTTGAGACATCAACAATAGTCATCATTTGTGAACCATTTTATTAGTAAGCACTTTAAATGCATTAATTCTAAATCCTGATAGCAACCCTACAAGGTAGGAGTTATCATCTGGGTGACTAAGGTTTAGGAGTACAAAATGACTGGCCAACAACACACAATAAAGACCAGAACTAGTATTAAAATAAGAAATGACTATCAGTTTTAGTATCTTGTAAGAAAACAGAACTGTGATTTTCTCTAAGTAGCTATGACACGACTGAAATGAGTGAAATACCTGATAATGAAAAACTCCTAGTAACACACTTTAAGTATATTGACCTCCACCCTTGTTATCCCCCAAACATCTAAAATCATCTAAATTTACACCTAGAAAATCAGAAACTATTTTTACTGTTATCAGAAAGCAGTTTGAATTACTGCTGTATGGACCAACCAGTTGGGCTTTATGAAGTACATAGATAAAACAGCTCCTAATCTATTTAATTATGCCTTTTTCAGTACTGGGGACTGAACATAAGGCCTTTGCACTGCTCTTTGTATCACCAGCTCTTTGTATGTTTTTGAGAAAGGATCTTGTTAAAATGATAAGCTGCCCAGGATAGGCTCAAATTTTTGATCCTCCTACCCCAGCCTCCCAAAATGCTGAGATTATAGGTGTGTGCCACCCATGTCCAGCTTGCCTAGGCTTAAAAAACACTTAACTAATAAATTAGCAATATAGAGATATAAAGTTGTACTTTAAAATGCCTGAGTCCATATCACTGCTCCAGCAATTTCTTTTTTTTTTGTTAAAACCTTTTTTGAATCCAGCAGTTTCTAATTGTATGATTTAGGTCACTGTATTTTACTTTTCTGTACTCCTGCTTCCCCACCTGTAATTACCTCCCACCCACCTTATCTTTATTCTTTTTTTTTGGTTTTTCTCCAGTACCGGGAACTGAACTCACGACCTTGCGCTTGCCAGGCAGGTGCTTTTGCCGCTGAGCTAAATCCCCAGCCCCTCTTATCTTTATTCTTATTATTTTTTTTTCCAGTACTGGGATTGAACACACAGTCTTTGCACTAAGGTGCAGCTCCAGTCCTCTTAAAAATTTTTAAAAATTTTGAACAAAGGACTTGATAAGCTGCCAAGTTTCCCAGTGCTAAAACTTGTGAGTCTTCTATTCTAGCTTCCTAGAGTCCTAGGATCACAGGTGTGTGTCACCACACCCAGCTAATTTTAGTAGCAAGGGTGAAACGAAAAGCAAATAAATGAAAAAGTATTCATAATCATTCAATTTAATTTAGGCTTTCTAGGTATAGAAATATACCTAGTAATTTGGGATCAAAGCCCTTTAACAAGCTGAAGGCTATAATAAAATGATTATTCCTTTTATTAGAGAAGTGATATAATATAGCATAATAGTTAAGAGCACTCTGGATCCAGATTACCTCAATGTGAGTGCTATTACTACCAATTACTAGCTTTGTAATTTTAGGAGGTTATTTAATTTCTAGGTGCCGCAGTTTCATCATGTGCAAAATGGGAATGGTAAAAACAGTAACAAGCATCTAGAAGTGTTTGTGAGGATTAAATCAGTTAAATTTATAAAGAATGCTTAGGCTAGAGATATGGCTCAGTAGCAGAGTGACGGGGTAGCATGTGCAAGCCCCTGGGTTTAATCCCCAGCCCTGGAAGAAACAAACAGATCAAAATAATGCTTGTTATTGTTATTATTATTTCTTCCCTATTATTAGCATCATTAACATTACTTTATAACTATCTAATTTCTAATGAGTACTTAGTATGTGCCACACACTGTTCCAAGTGTATTACCTATTTAGTTCTCAACAACTCCCAAGAAGATAAATGTTAATATTATCCAACCTTGTTGAGGCAGGAACAAGGACAAAGATGTTAACATTCTTGTCAAAGTTACACAGTGAATATGTATTATATATATCCAAGACTTCCCTTTTCTGTGTGTGATATTAGGGATTGAATCCAAGGCCTTTGCACTGAGCTATAGCTCCAAACCTTTTATATTTTGAGACAGAATCTTATTAAATTGCCCAGGCTGGGCTTGAAACTGTGATCCTTCTCCCTCAGCCTCCCAGGGTGCTGGGATTACAGGGGTTTTCTTTTCCACTGAATTCCTTTCCCAAGGGTGTAATGACACTTGCTTCCTCAGCCATCTCTTGCTCCAAGGTTTGCAGGATGGAGACAGAGATCAAGGCACTGGAAGTCACAGCAAAACTGCTACTGGCACTGCACACAGAAAAAACACATTTCTCTATGCAAGCACACTTCCGTTCCTAATTATAAAAATATATATTCATAGTATAAAATACAGAAAATTATTCTATGAATTTTATTATTATTTTTTATTCTATGAATTTTAAAGGAAACACTGTTTGAAAGTTTATATTATCTCTACTTTTTTTTCTTTCTTTTGGTTGTTTTTTTTTTTTCCTCCGGTACCAGGAACCAAACTCACGACATTGCGCTTGCCAGGCAGGCGCTTTGCCGCTGAGCTAAATCCCCAGCCCCTACTTTCTTTTGTTTTTGAGATGGGATCTTACTATGTAGTTCAAGTTGGCCTGGACTCACTACGTAGCCCAAGTTGGTCTTGAACTCACAGTGATTTTCCTGCTTAAACCTCCTGAGTGCTAAGATTACATGTGTGTGTCACCACGCCCAGCTATTTCTACTTTTTTAAAAAAACTAATTTTTACAAGATTTTTTGTTTGTTTGTTTGTTTGTTTTTTCCGGTACCAGGAATTGAACTCACAACCTCGCACTTGCCAGGCAGGCGCTGTGGCACTGACCTAAATCCCCAGCCCCTATCTATTTTTTTTGTTTGTTTGTTTTTTTCCGGTACCAGGAATTGAACTCACGACCTTGTGCTTGCCAGGCAGGTGCTGTGCCGCTGAGCTAAATCCCCAGCCCTTACAAGATTTTTAAAAGAAGCAGGCAGGGACACAGTTTAGTGGTAGAACACTTACCTAGCATATATGAGGCCTTGGGTTTGATTCCTAGCACCACACAAGAAAAAAAGGGGCAGGGGGAGGAAATGTACTTTTTTTCCTATATATTTAAGGTAAATATTTATATAAAGATCCATTTTTTAAACTATGAGCTTCTTCATAACAAACAGAAAATGAAATGGTATTTTGAAATTTGGGGGTGTTGCCAGAAATTCTAGAAACTTAAGCAATAATATCTATTTTGATACTTTTTGTGTGTATGTATGTATGTTTGTATTTATTTATTTGGTACTGGGAATTGAACTCAGGACTCTGCATTTGCCAAGCAGGCACTTGTGCCACTAGGCTATATCCCTGGCCTCAACTTTTTTGTTTTTAAAAACAGGGTCTCACTATGCATTCTAGGCTGGTCTTGAATGTAGCCCATCCCAGCCTTGAACCTGTAGTGATCCTATGCTCAGCCTTCTAAATGCTACGATTACAGATGTGCACCACCATGTCTGGTCTATTTTGATAACTCTATACTCATAATGTACTTACTGTACTCTAGTACTGTACTTTGGAAATCTTTTGTTGGCAGAAGGCCCTCCATGAACTATGGTGGATAAGTTTAACTTACAACAGTGGTATAATAGATATAAGGTTACCCTTTCTGTTCTATCAGCACAAAATAATCGAGTGTGATGTCTCTTCTGAACCACAATGTAGGTTATCCCAGGTTGATAGTCTTTCTCCAAACTGATGCAGGCTTCTCGAATTGCTAGTAGTTCATAATATAATACCTAGAGAAGATGTAATGGAAAGATTTAATTTAGTGAGCTGTTCTCCTTTACATAATTATATAAAATAATGATTTAGTTTTAGGATTTCTTAATCTCATCACTTTATAGTTAAATATACTTCTCTATTCCATTTAAACTACTAGCAGAACAATCAACACTTACATAGCCATAGTGAAATTTTTTTTTCTTTGGTGGCACTGGTGGTTGAACCCAGGGATTTCATATAGAGCCCAGGGCTCTATATCCCCAGAGCCCTTTTGTTTTGTTTCATTTTTTTGAGACAGGGTCTCGCTATGTAGCCCAGGCAGGCCTCAAACTCATGGTGATCGTCCTGCCTCAGCTCCCAAGTACAGGGATTATACGTGTGCACCACAACTCCCGGCCCCCAGCCCTATTTGTCTTTTATTTTGAAACAGTGTTTTGCTAAACTGCCCGGGTTGAGTGTGCACCTGCAATCTTCCTGCCCCTTTCTCCCAGGGTTGCATTATATGCATGTGCCACTCCTGGTCAATAGTGACAATTTTAAAAGGGAGAATCTACTGAAGCATCAAAATTTGACTTTAGGAATTCTCAAGGCTTTCAACTTGAAATGAGATATATTATAAACGAAGTTTCTGATTTAACCACTGTCTGAGGAAATTTCAGACAACTGACCTGTCTAAACTGTCCCTCTGAAACACCATCCCGATAAAAGATGATACGAGTAGGTTTGAACCGAGTTGACTTATAAAATTGAATGAGAAGTTCCCGGACCATGGAGGCCAAGTCTTGTATGATCTCCTGTCGGGGTCTCTGAACTCTGACTGTGGCACAGTATCTGCTTGGGTGGGCATCCATACTACCTACAACCTAGGTTAAAAAAAAATAAAAATTAATCACAACTATATGGATTTCATTTACATTTGTATTTTATTATAACCTTATTATTATTTATCATTGTTTACTTTGAGAATAATCAAAAGTAGATAATTCCCAGTGAAGAAAAGAATAAATGACCCAGTAGAGCACCCAAACATATTTTCTTATAAGGAGGCTGCACATTACATTTAACAATTAGATCCTAATTGTGATTGGTAGACCTAAAGATTAGTCCTAGGGGAAAAAAAAAACCAAAAAGACATGCATAAAAAGAATTAAAGAAAGGAAGTAAGTCTACAAAGATACTGATTTAAACTACTGATTTAATATCTTCCACTTCAGCAATCTTCCCAGAGCCCATACTTAAAAAATTCAAATCAGGATTTTCTCTTACTGCAAAGGCCTACACCAGACATCCTGACTCTATATATAGTCAGTCTTACTGTGTGGTGGTTGTATTCTGTATCTGGTCCTTGAGAAGTTAACTTTGGTTTTCAGACTGGCTACTGTAATTTTCTCTTTCTGTGTCTTGTTTAATATTATTGTATGTTTGATGCAAAGGAGACCTAAAAGCATGAACTTATGTTATTCTGGTCACTGCCTCAGCTGGTCACTCTGCTTTTATACTACTATTTTTCTTCCATGGCAGTCTATATCAAAGTCATGCTTCAAAATAGAACTTGAGAGGCCAGGTGTGGTGGCACATGCATGCCTGTAATCCCAGCACTTGGGAGGCTGAGGGAGGAGGATCATTGTGAGTTTGAGACCAGCCTAGGCTACAAAGTAATCTCAAGGCCAGCCTAAACTGCACAGCAAGACTCTTCAAAAAGACAAACAAAACAAACAAAACAAACAAACCCCCTAAAAACCAAAATAGAACTTGAAACATTTTATTCCCTTGAATGATATCTCATTAGTAAAGAATAAGTTCACAAAAACTTACTATCCTCACAGCCTTCGATACTGCATCCCAATTTCCTGAATGTTTCACCACTTCTAAAACATCACAGGTTCTCATGATTTAAATTTTAAGTTATCTTGCTATAATGTTAGTGCCTATCATACTATATGGCATTTAATACTTACATTTGTTTCTCACATCAGTCTCTTAAATTCTTGGGAACAGAAGCCATAAAACAAAGAATCAATTGATAGATTCTATTTATAAGACTTCCAATAACCACAAAATAAAGTGGATATTTGGTAGAAACAGATTTAACAGAGAGGGAAAGTGACTATTGTAGGTCCTACTGTTATAGAATATACCTAAAACATAGCAAATTCAAGGCAGTTTCTTTTGATTCAAATCAATGACTTGAGTTTCTTTACCATTTTCACAGAACATTTTTATGAGTATCAGAAATAGCTTAAAACTCTCTCTAGAACATTTCTATGTCTAAAATTTCTGTTTTTTTCTTTCTTTCTTTTTTTTATTTTAAAGAGTAAAAGAAGGATAACATAGTAATGGGGGGGCTTACCAAATTACAGACAAAGCGGTAGGAAATTATCAATGGTTATTGTTTTACATATTGTTATCTACAAGATAGTTTCTCAGGAAAACAAATAGAAAAATAATAGTGAGTTAGTCAAAAGA